TGAAATATGAGCTGCTCTGAGCTCATTAATTGCTGGTATCCAATTAGCATGATTCGGGGCCAATTCAAGAGAGGCAAAGCTGATTTTCAAAGCTAGTGTCATCCTTGACTTGTGTAAAGTACCACAGCATCTTTCCAGCCTGTGTACCCAGAGTGACTGAACACCTGAGCCAAAGAGAAGTTTGACTAGCAATGCTGTATGAGGCATTTTCCAGGCCAGAGCCAAAAGAGCGACATCAACCTAGTGAATGGGTCCAATGTGTTGGGGCCTCCCACTGTCTCACCTCATTCTTCTTGTCCCTCACAATCGCAGGGAGTGTCTTGTGCTGCATCAGTTCAGAACAGCTCTGCTGTGGTCAAAGGCTTTGCTTACCTCTGTCTGTGGTTTGTACGCTGTTTTTGTTTTTTTGGGGGGGGTGGGGGGAGGGGGGGAGTTTGCTGGCTGGACCACTCCTGTAAGAGCCCCTCTCCTGATCCCCTTTGCTCCCAGCCTCAGGAGATCACACAGTCTTCTCCAGGGCCAAGTACAGACATTACACTTTTACCTGTAAGTGACTGGAAACTGGTCTGTACCTGTAACAGAACAGAAGTTTGGTGCACATAGACTGGATTCTGCCATGTTTAAACCAGACTAAGTGTTGCACCCTCTCCCAAAAAGCGAATGTGTATTCTGTTTGCTGCTGATCTGAACTGCACCTATAGGTGCTGACTTTGATTTTTGCTAGTGAATGCTGAGCCTTGTGCATGTTCAGAAGAGTCAGCCCGCTCCTTCAACCTGGCTCACCTGACATCCGTATAGATCAGGTGCTTAAGTGGCTTGTTTGTTTTTTTTTCTGGCACTCTTGGCTGACTGAATCGGCTCTAGCTAAAAGTGCCAAAAACCCTTGATGAAGCGCCCAGTCTTTCCAGATGCTGCAGAGCTGTGCTGAAGTAATGCACTGCATCTTCTAGTAAAGCACAGTTTGTTTCAATGCCAGCAAGCAGCCACAGAGATATAACATGTTAAAATCAAAATAGCCATGGTCTATGGGTGCTGAGCACCCACTAACTTTTTTTTTTGTTTGGTGGGTGCTTGAGTCCTGGAGTACCCATGGAGTCAGCACTTATGACGGCACTGCTTACAGAAAACCACATAACTCTGATCAGTTCTGCCTTGGGGTTTTTGAATGTCTGTACCTAGCCCAAGTGAGAGGCTGCAGTGGTCCTTGCTGACCTGAAATGACAATAGTAGAATGGAGTAATGGAGATGATGGAAATTGGCTTTGCATTGGGTCACTTTTCTTGGTTTCTGCTTCCTATTCCATGGGCTTGGACTGTCTGGTTCTTCCAGAGCACAAGGTCTTACTCTTCCTGCCCTGTACTGTAACCCAGCCCCTGAGGTATCCACTCCCATTGGGATCTCCTCCCTCCCCCACCCCCTTGGGCTGCTTGGTGTCAGTCTCTTGAGCTCCTGCATATGTTCTGTAGTGCCTGGAGTAGCACTGTTAAACCCAGGAGCATTCTCCTTGGTGATCTTTTTGACTAGCAGCCTGGTATGCCTTGGGCTGGTTGGTTCCCACAGGCAGGCTCTGGGGAGTTCAGGTGCTCTAGGGACATGCAGGGCTCCTGGGGGAGGGTCACAGCCAAAAATAAAACAGCTGGACAGTAGGGAAGTGCATGGACCTGATCAGTCTCTGGGGTGACTCCAGCATCCAGGGCAGTTGTGTTATATTCCTATCCTGCCCCTCCTTCCCTATACCCCCAGCCCTACTCATTCATCTCTTCATAAATTTTGTAGACATTAGGGCTGGAAGGGACCTTGGAAGATCGTAGAGTCCAGACTCCTGCCCCAGGGGCAGGAAGTCAGATAGCGTCAAAGGATTCCAGCAAGATAAGCTTCCAAACATTTCTTGAAAGAGTGCAAACCACCTCTGGAGGGAGTCTTGGACAGTAAAGAAGGTCTTGGATAGTAAAGAAGTTTTTCCTTATGTCCAGCATAAACGGTCTTGTAGGAGTTTGTGACCGTTAGATCTTGTCATCCCTTGGGGCACTCTGGTGAACAGAAAGTCCCCCAGGTCCTGATCTACATCCCTTTATATACTTATAGGCTGCCACCAGGTCACCCGTGAGCCTGTCCTTTTCCACGCTGATGAGTCCCATGGCTCTCAGCCTCTCTTCAAAGGCCTGTTCTCTTGCCCTCTGATCATGCATGTGGCTCTCCTCTGGACTCTCTCAAGCTACTTCAAATCCTTCTTGAATTGTGGAGCCCAGAGTTGGATGCAGGACTCCAGCTGCAGCCTCACCAAGGCGGAGTACAGCGGGAGGATGACATCCTGAGATTTGTTTGAGAAGCATCTATGGATGCAAGCCAGAGTTTTGTTCACTTTACGAGTTGCAACATCACATTGGTGGCTCATGTTCATCTTGTGATCAATCGTGACCCCCAAGTCACTTTCGGCCGTGATGCTAGCGAGCGTCACACTGACGAGTGTGTAAGTTTGATGTGGTTCCCCCCGGTGAAGTACCTTGCATTTTTCCGTATTGAATGTCATCACGTTTTTATCCTCCCACTTTCCAAACCTATCGGGGTCAGCCTGGATCACCAGCCTGTCCTTGGGTGTGGACACTCTACCCCAAAGTTTAGTGTAATTGGCAAACTTGGCCAGTCCGTTTCTGACACCAGTGTCCATATCATTAATAAAGATGTTAAAAAGACTACAGGTCCAAGGACAGCTTTGGGGGACACCACTGGTCATGGAGTGCCATGCTGATTCATGCCTGTTGACTACCACTCTCTGGGTTTGATCTTACAGCTAATTCCCCTTCCATCAGACTGTGATGTAGCAGAGGCTGCAGTTGGCCAATTTTTCTATGAGGAGACCATGGGACACCAGCCCAAAGGCTTTTTTAAAGTCCAGATATAAGATGTCAATCTCTTCTCCCTTGTACAGGTGATATGTCACCTGGTCATAGAAGGAAATGAGGTTGGTCAGGCAAAACCTACCCGTACTGGCTGTTCCCTCAGGATGTTGCCATCAACCAACTTGTCTAGAATGGTCTCTTTAATAATTTTTATCCAAAATCTTCCCAGGATTGGACGTCAAGCTGACTGACCTGTAGTTCCCTGGGCCTACTTCCCTTTCTTAAAGATAGGCACCACATTGGCCTCCTTCCAATTTTCGGGCACTTCACCCAAGTGCCATGAGTTCTTGAATGTCCTTGCCAGTGGCTGGGCTGTGATGCCTGACAGCTCACTAAGTACTCTGGAGTGCAAGCTGTCGGGACCAGCTGACTTGAAGGTGTCCAACCTCTCAAGGTGTTCCGTTACAAGGTCTACACCAATGCTGGGTATAAATTCACCCTCGCCCTAGCTATCCCACATCATGTTAGGTAGGATGGTCCCTTTAGGCTGGTGGAAAAACTGACGCAAAGTACCCGTTAAGCAGGTTGACTTTTTCCTGGGTGTCAGTTGTCCCATTTGGTTTAGCAGGGGTCCAATATTGCCCTTGCTTTTCTTCCGATTTCCCCGCATCTAAAAAATGACTTTAGTGTCCTTGATGCGTGCAGCCAGTTGGAGTTTGGTTGCAGCCTTGGCTTTCCTGGTTTTCTCCCTACAGGTACGGAGCAGTGCAGAATACTCCTTATTGGCGATTCCCGTCTTCCATCCTTTATAAGCCTCTTTTTTTAGACATAGGAGGTCCATGAGTTCCCTGCCGAGCCAAGGGGGTTGCTGTGCCCTTTTGCTACCTTTCCTCCGAGATGGGATGGACAACCCTTGTGCTGTCAGGATTGCTCCCTTAAGCCTTTCCCCAGCCCTTTCCAGCTCTGCTCTAGCCCTCCCACCCAGACCATTGTTTTGCCCGGTCATCTGCATTCCAAACGTGCAGCCCCTCTGCTTCCTCAGTCCTAGGATCCCCATGCACAGCTTTGTCGGTGCCTGTAACAGGTTGCCCTCTCAAATGGCATTTTTTTCTCTTCTCTTTTTGTTCCCTGTGGCCTATGAGGGGTGCCCTTGAAGTCCCTTAAATGCTTCTCCTTCTATCTTTTGTCTTGGATCCTTCCTTTTATTCCCCTGCCATGTCTTGATGTAACTTATTTAGATACACCTTTTATTCTCCTGCCATGTCTTGATGTAACTTATTTAGATAATAAGCCTGAGTTACAACCTGGGGCAGCGGAGGCACTGCTTTTTCCTGTCACCTGCATAGAACCTCTGGGGGTTACTCTGTCCACTGGGGATTGCTGGAGTGCATTGTATTCTGGCTCCAACCCAGCTCAGTTCTTGCACCCCTACCCCCCACACAGTTGCTTCCTATGCTTATGGGGGACTGGAACACAGAGGATTGGCTCTGCAGGCTTTGCTGTACCCTGTCATTCCTTCATTATTGGGGTGATCCCTGACATCCCTCTGGTCTTTGCAAGGCATAAAGGAGATGGTGCTGCAGACCAGCGTTTGGCCCTTTTACCCTCCTTAGCAGCAGCCTGTATTTTAACACATTCAGGGAGCTTTTAGAGCAAGGGACAAAGTGCCTGGCTTCTGCAGCAGGGCAGAACTGCTAGGATCACCCAGACCTGGCTCAGGTTTAGCCAAAAGGTTCAGGTTCTGACAGCTGCTCTGGCTTTTCTTGCAAGCCCTGCTTCCCTGCTCTGTGCCATCTGATGAGCCTGCCCTCTGCCATGGTACTTCCCTTCCCAGGCTGCTGGGGGAAGGGGTCAGTAGGAGAGTTGACTGGGAGCTGAGATTTTACCAGGTGGCTTTGCCAACTCCCACTGCTCAGGTGGCAGCTTTGCAGGGCAGCACTATGCCAGCTGTTCCCTCTCCTCCTGGGGGTGGTAGTGATGTGCACAGAGTAGAGTGCCTTTTGGTGCTCCCTTCCCTGTCCCCCTATCCCTCATCCCTTTGAGACTTTGCGCAGGTGGGCGAGTGGGCAGGAAATCAAAGTGATATGGCTAAAATAGGCTGTAGCTGTGATCAAAGGTGGCTGGGACCCACACACTGGGGTCTCCATTGCATCCCCCTGTGCCAACTGCCTCCCTTGTCTGCACCAACTTCCATGTTCCCCCCCGTATAGTTCTGCCTCCCCCAAAACATCACCATTTTCCCCACCTCCCCCAAATACTGTGCTGGGAACAGCAGCCTTTGTTATGGAAATCTTGATTTGCACACAAAAGGACCCTCTGTTTCTGTTTGGGTGTAAGCCCTGCAGCAGGGGTGACTACCAAGGACAGGGGTGCAGTGGGTTGGAGGCACTGGGGGCAAATGGGATAGTTTGGATACGGTATCCCACACCATACTGGTAAACAAGAGGCTGTGACTTGGATGACTACACAGTCTGGTGGGTGGCGAGTTGGCTAGAGGGTTGCACCCAGAGAGTCCTAGTGGATGGGTCGGTATCGACCTGGAAGGGTGTGGGCAGTGGGGTCCCGCAGGGCTCGGTCCTTGGACCGATACTCTTCAACGTCTTCATCAGCGACTTGGACGAGGGAGTGAAGTGTACTCTGTCCAAGTTTGCGGATGACATAAAACTGTGGGGAGAAGTGGACACGCCGGGGGGCAGGGAACAACTACAAGCAGACCTGGACAGGTTGGACATATGGGCAGAAAACAACAGAATGCAGTTCAACAAGGAGAAATGCAAAGTGCTGCACCTAGGGAGGAAAAATGTCCAGCATACCTACTGCCTAGGAAATGACCTGCTTGGTGGAAAGGAAGCGGAAAGGGATCTTGTAGTTCTAGTGGACTCCAAGATGAACATGGGTCGTCAGTGTGACAAAGCCATCAGAAAAGCTAATGGCACTTTATCGTGCATCAGCAGATGCATGACGAACAGAACCAAGGAGGTGATACTTCCCCTCTATCGGGCGCTGGTCAGACTGCAGTTGGAATACTGCGTGCAGTTTTGGGCGCCTCACTTCAAGAGGGATGTGGATAACCTGGAGAGGGTCCAGAGAAGGGCCACTCATATGGTTAAGGGCTTGCAGGCCAAGCCCTATGAGGAGAGACTGGGGCACCTGGACCTCTTCAGCCTCCTCAAGAGAAGGTTGAGAGGTGACCTTGTGGCTGTCTATAAGTTCATCACAGGGACACAGAAGGGAATTGGTGAGGTTTTATTCACCAAGGCGCCCCCGGGGGTTACAAGAAACCATGGCCATAAACTAGCAGAGAGCAGATTTAGACTGGACATTAGGAAGAACTTCTTCACAGTTCGAGTGGCCAGGGTCTGGAACGGGCTCCCAAGGGAGGTGGTGCTCTCCCCTACCCTGGGGGTCTTCAAGAGGAGGTTAGATAGGCATCTAGCTGGGGTCATCTAAACCCAGCACTCTTTCCTGCCTATGCAGGGGGTTGGACTCGATGATCTATTGAGGTCTCTTCCGGCCCTAGCATCTATGAATTTATGAAACTATGGATGGCACAGAGGGGGCTATGACTGGCCTACCTAATCCCTCTTGCCTTTTTCCTCTCTCTTTGTCGCATGGGGTGGTTGTAGATGACACAAGATTTCCCATTTACACCAATGGAACTGTGTGCGTGCGCACTATTGGGATTTCCCACCGCTCTAAGTCTTTTCGGCATGTAAACTAACACTGCTAGGACCTTTTTTAATTTTGCGTCGAGTTCACTTACCTCACTCCAATCTATGGATTCATGTTGTGCAAACAGTCAGCGACTCAAAGACTTGTAATTACTTTCTGTTGGCACCAGGTGGTACTGCTCTATTTCTGTAGTTCAAGTCTTTAGACAGTAGGTGCCACTGTGATTTGTATTTTCTATGTGGGGTGTGTTGTGTTTTTTTTGTTTTTGGTTTTTTTTTTTTTCCTTACCGTCCTCCTCCTCCACAGCTGGCCGTAGGTATTCAGGGCATGGCGTAGTGTGTGCTCCAGGTATAATAATATTAATGATCATAATATTGTTAAGAGAAATGGAGGGCTGACCAATTCCCTGTGTCATAGTACCCGATTGTTAATTTTTCCATGGCTGCCACCAGTTGTATACGTGATGCCTCCTGCCCGATGCGCTCACTGCTGCATTCAGAACTGCAGATCCCAGTGGCATCACCAGAATGGTAAGTTTACAAATATAAAAAGTTTGGAGTGTGCTACCCTACCTACCCCCTAAAGTCTTCCTTCAGATTTCTTATAGTTTACATTCACGTTGCAGAACCATGGCAAATAGTCCAGATGGATGCTGCCTGTCAGACCCACTGCCGCCCCAGGTACAGGGTACAAATCCTCTTGGGTGACTATATAGGTAATGTCCTACCAACCTTGTACGTGGCAGGTTTGTGGGGCAACAGTTTTGGGGGGGGGGGGCAAGAGGTCAGTTTTTGGACTTTTGTCCAAGA